AAAGGTGAGTTCATACCCCCATATTTTCTAAGCTTTTTAATGTTTTAAAAGGAGGGGAATACAAGTAAAACAAAAAAATCTTGTGTTTAAAAATCTAATTTTACTTGTTATGTTTTTCTTACTGTTTATATGTACTTAAACTCGAAACTTGTTAAAATATGGAATTAAACTTATAAACTATAATAGCTATAGTTTATGGAATAAAGGGATCTTTTTACATGATGATATAAAAAGAGTTTTTCACTTTATGTAAACTAATTGATACAGGATTGTGAATCACTTGTACCACTCATGGTACCAGCTCGAATTATAAATTATAATCAGAGTCTCCTTAAAAGAGAGCGTAAGTTAGTGTATAGATCTATATAGGGCTGACTATGTATTACTATGGTTATAATGAATATTCACAATAGTATTAACTAATTAGTTACATAAAGAAATACTTCTTCTTTAACAGTCTCCAGGGATACTAACTATATGATTTCTCAGTATATACAATAGGGTTAGATAAAATTGAAGTCCGACAAATAGTGGAATGTGTGATTTCCGCCTCATTTCCTGTTCCTTGTTTGGTTGTGGGCTTAGGCCGGATTCACCCATTCAACTATCTATTCGATCTCGGTATTATACAACCCATATGTACTAAGTGATCATAGGAGGGTAATATCGTCACATCGAGTTTTTCGGGTAATCACATGTTCAGATAGAGTTACTGATAAATAAAACTGGGTATCATTAAGCTAAGTATGGTAATTATACTTGTGTTTCTCGGTCTTGGAACGTTTAAGACTACAAATCGGTTTTATAGAAAATATAGGATTTTCTATGGTTTACATCGTTATTTTGGAAGATAAACAGTTTTCGATTTAACTTTCTGAAAACAATGTTTCACAATAGAGTAAGTGAAACTAGAAACTTATTTACTAAAGGTTTGATATTTATTATCGAACTAGTATAACATAAAGGACCTTCTATGGTTAACTCTACAATTTCTTAGTTTATACATCAAAGTTATATATAAGTAATATCCGATTGGCAGTAGAATGTGTGACTTCCGCCTCATTTCTTGTTCCTTGTTTGGTTGTGGGCTTAGGGCAGATACACACATTCAACTGTCCGTTCGATATTAGGTTATATATAACTAGTATAAACTAAGTGATTGTAGAAGGAACTATTATGGTTACTATTTTACCAAGAAAATATTGGATTTTCTGAAGGATACTCATTCATCGTTTAAAAAAGGATCATAACTGTTAGTTCTGTGATTACTTGGTGAATACGTTAGAGTTATATATAATAAAGATTCGGTAGACAGTGGAATGTGTGACTTCCGCCTCATTTCCTGTTCCTTGTTTGGTTGTGGGCTTAGGGCAGATTCACACATTCAACTGTCTAATCGATTTGTATTATGTATAATTTGTATTCAATAAATGATCATAGAAGGAACAGGTATTATCACATTCTTATAAAGAAAATATAGGATTTTCTTATGGAACGTTTTCGTTCAATATAAAGGATCATTAAAGTTAATGTTAAAAGTACTTAGTGAATACGTCAGTGTTATATACATGAGGATCCGACAGATAGTGGGATGTGTGGATTCCACCTCATTTCTTGTTCCTTGTTTGGTTGTGGGCTTGGGGCAGAACCACACAGTCGACTGTCTGTTCGATCTGAATGTATATGACTTGTCTTCACTAAGTACTCGTAGAAGGAACAACCATGAGTCGTTTTACTTATCATTTATCATCAGAAAATAAAAGATTTTTTGGAGGAACTGGCGAACTTTTCAAAAGAATAAAGAACATACTTTCTCCAACTTTAATGTTGATACACTTTCAAACCACTTGTATTCTCAGGATCGTTAGTAGACAGGTACTCTCTCTCAGGCGTTGTGAAGACGGAGCTTACGTCATATATTTTTCTATAGTTTTAATGTAAATTATGAAATGTTTTGAACACAATGTAAACTTTATATTATTAATTTAATGGTTGTTGTTACTTTGATTACTATGATGTATGTGTTGTGATACTTACATGAAGTCATCCACCCCCGAACGTTTCCGCCGTTCCGGTCTGGGGGTGTGACAAAGTATGTATGTGAGGGGTGAGGCAATATGGGCATATGATTGAACAAAACGGCGATAATAGCCTGTTAGGCCCAAAAAGGCTCGTAAGGTTGTAAAGGATGTGGGAGTGGGCCAGGCTTGGATGTTCTCAAGTTTTTCTGGGTCTGCATTAACGCCTTTAGCTGAGATAATATGACCCAAAAGGGTATATCAACGGTGGCAAAAACACATTTGGATTCTTTGGCATGGTACTTGTTGGTCAATAGTGTATGAAAGACGAACTATAGATGTTCACATTGTTTATCGATGGAAGGGCTATACACCAATATGTCGTCGAAAAAAACGAGGACAAACTTATGTAAGACGGGACAAAAGAGATCGTTCATGGCCGCTTGAAATGTTGATGGGGCGTTTGTGAGGCCGAAGGGCATAACGCAAAATTCGTAGTGACCGTCTATTGTGCAAAATGTCGTTTTGTGTATATCAGATGGGGAGACACGAATTTGATGGTAGCTGGCCCTAAGATCAATTTTTGGGAATATGCTAGCCCCGTGAAGTTCATCCAAGAGTTCATCGACAGTTCGAATTGGGAACCGGTCGTGAACTGTGACTGCATTGAGTGCCCGATAATCAACACAAAAACGCCATGTGCCATCTTTTTTTTGAACTAGTAAGACTGGTGAAGAGTATGGGCTTTGGCTTGGTTGAATTACGCCACTATGATATGAGGTTGGTCATAATTTCTTTTTGGTAATGTGGGTAACGGTATGGTTTGAAAAAAATAATAGGTTTGGTGTTTGGTAATAGTGGAATACGATGATCATGTTGACGTATGGGTGGTAACTCGTGAGGTGGGTCGAAGAGTTTTTGGTATTGGTGTAGTAGGGCTTCGATGGTGGTGTTAGGATGTGGTTGTCGGTTTGGCTGAATGGTTGCTGGTGGCTGATGGTGAAAGATGAGAGTATGAAGTGAGGCGCCTGAATGTTTGCGAATCAGAGTGTATAGTGAGCTAGGTGACACGGGTGATGTAAGAGGTTCGCCATGTAGGATGCATGGTTTATTGTTGATGGTGAATGAGAGTTGGGGAATGGAGAAATCGGCGACCAATGGTCCCAATGTACTAAGCCAGGCGACACCCAATATGACGTCTGCTCCTTCAACCGGAAGGACAAATAAAGGAACTGAAAAGGTAGTTTTATTGAGTTCTAGTGGCACATTTGGGAAGAAGCTGTTACACTCTAAGTGTTGGCCATTTCCGACCATTACAGGGAAGGGTGTGATTGTTACTGGTGTGGTTTTGAGTAGGGAAACGAGGCGAGGCTGTATAATATTATGGGTGCTGCCACAATCTATGAGTGTCATGACCGGGTTTCCGTTGATGTGGCTAGTAACGCTAAGTGTTCTGGGTGATTGTATGTCATCACAGAGTCCGGAGATAAAATAGTCCCGCAAAGCTTCAGTTGGTAAGCCATCGACACAATTGCTAATTTTTTCAAACTGAGATTGATAAGCAGCCACTGTGGTTGTTTGGCGGAGCTTGAAAAGTGTTGCCCGGTGATTTTCGTAGGTGGAGGGGCCGAAACGCGTTTCAAGTGCTTGGGTGAACTCAGGCCAGGTGTCCAAGAGGTGATTGGTGGACATATGTTTGTACCAACTAAGTGAATCACCTGTGAAGTAGAAGACAACAAGTGCAAGGCGTTGATTTGGTAGGATGTTGTAGTATGCGAAATAGTTTTCTGCCTGGAAGACCCAATCAAGTGGGTTTGAGCCATCAAAGTTGGGAAGATTAATTTTTAGGGGACGTGGGTTGTGTGGAGGCGGTGGTGGGGGTGGGTTTTGGTTTATGTGTTGATTGGTGATGATATTGACAAGATTTGTCATGTTCATTGTGAGGACATCAAGCTGGGTATTACTGGCGGTGGTTAGGTGAAGTAAAGCTTGAAGTTGATCTTGAGGTGGATGGTTTTTCTCCTGTTTATTTTCTAGCTTGGGAGGCATGGTAAGTGGAATCAAAGCACCAAAGTGATAGAACCTAATTCGAGGTGGTTAACCTCCAGAGAATTTCAGAGAGAGAAGCAAAACTGAAACAATTTTCTGTATATTTCTCATACCAAATTACATGCTTAAATAAAAAATGACTGAACTAAAAATGGTACTAATATCTAGGGACGTGGGTGTATAGTGGAACCCAACATCTTAGGAATGCATGCAACATGTGTGGAAATAAAGGGAACCATATGTGATTAGTTGACTGAGTAAAAACTCATAGTTCTTCCAAGTATCTGTTGGGTTTCTTGATGATCCTTCTGGGGCGAGTAGTAGCTTGTGGGTCTTCCAGTCCGGCCTGTTCTTGGGCTGCCGTATGGGCTGTATCATCTTTTGTGAAAAAAAAAACGATTATAAATTAGTTTATCACGCCCATAAGCTACTCATGTAGTTTCGTCACACAATTATACATTGCAATAATTTCATAAAATATGATATTTTTATTTATGTACACCAAACACATCCTAAGTACATATATCGGTATCAATTTGTTGTTTCTTAACAGTGATTCGTAAATATAATGTATAATATTTGTTATATATTTTAATAAAATAGAAATGAATAAATGATAAAGGTCTAGATTTAAATTACAAAATAGTAAATCGAGAAGGTCAATTTTGAAGAATTTCCTAGGAAACGTCAAGTTCGAAGGGAAATTTTGGTAGGAATAAGTGTCATTTCTAGTAGCACAAGTGGTAATGATTTTTACTTAGTTGAAAAGGTCTAAATGAAAATTTCAAAATTGTTTTGGTTATTGCAGGCGGTTTGACGTTATTTATAAAAGGCAAGTTGTAATTTTTGGTATTACTAGCTTCCACAAGTGGGGTAGCTAGTAGCTACACAAGTATGTATAAAAGGCAAAGACCAATACACCATATGATCATATATCAAACATTCATTCATAAAAATGGCTTTCTTTGCTAAGAAATCAAAACTTTTCGTGCTAATGATCATTCTTCTTATTTGTTCTTCCCATGCGAATGATCAGATCCCCCAAGTCAGGTACCAAAAGTTTCTTTTATCGCCATTTGTTTATATCTGTGCACACTGTTCTACTTTTTGATTGCATGCTTACTATAAATGTAAAAAAAATACTCGTACAGGAAAGGGGATCGTAAATTGCTTGGCATTGCTAAAGTAGTAGGTTCTCTTGTAAAGGGAGTGCGTAAAGGTGTGGATGATACTACCAAGCCTGCAGTTAAAAAAGTGCCAACTACAAAGCCTGCAGATATTACTGCAAAGAACATAGGGGAAAGCGGAGTAGGGAAGGGATTTGGAACAGGCTTTCGCTTAGGGTGGAACAGAGGAAAATGGTATTATCGAATGGAGGAAAGGTGTCAAAAATATCAAAGCTTGTTGAATTGTATCCCTGCTTCTCCAGCTTGCCATGCAACTTCAAGGAGTTGCTTCGTCGAAGTTATTGAAAACACAAGAATGGTTGATTACTGCCGGGAGGACTGTGAGCCTACCTTGCCAACACGCACCCCTTGCACTTATCATCATGGTGTTTTTTATTTGGGAAGTACCAAGCTCTCGCTAGATGATGCTCGCACCCGTTGTCAGGTTGTATAAGTACTAGAATGCTCCGATGAGTTTATGTGTTTTTTGTGGTAACTAATTATGTTATTTTTATTCTTTCATATTGTATGTTTCTTTCCAAACTGTAGTTTCTGTCCCAACTTTTTATTACCTTATTAAGATGAAAAGGTGTACCCTCTGCAGTGCCATACTCTCCTCCTGCCGATTCAGCGCCCATCTTGTTTTCCCCTCGGTCACTATTAAAAAAAAGGAATTTCCAATTTACTCTTACCGACAAAGTACCGATGTTTTTTTTGTGACATGGTATTTTTGTGACTATCCGTCACTAAAATGTTTTTATAAACAGTAAAAGTATAAAATTTAACTTTCAGATAATTACTGTCAAAATTATAGAAAAACCCAATACATTAAACCTATTCTAATATTCAGGTTCAACCACAAAATAATTAACATTACAACAAACATTGTCTATTATATTAAAATTGTCGAATACAATTACAAATGTTTAACAAAGTTTTTAAAAACATGATACTAAGGATTATTTGGTGGATTTGTCTCATAAAGATCGCTTGCTGTTCAAATTGAGTGTAACTTATATCTTCTTGTGCATGTGCAAATCTATTTGAGCTTCTTGTTGCAATTCTATTTGACTTTGTCGGTGTTCCATATCATTTTGCATATCAAGTTAAGCACGTTGGAAGGCTTTTGCCATGATTTCAAAAAACGTATATAATTAGTAAATCGAATTCAGTTTTAAACCGTAATAGCAATGTGACTTACTTTATTATAAAAACATATTATTAATTTAATCCATAACAAAACCATGCATTATCTTTTATCCATTATAGCAATCAGTTTTACTTTTTTTTTTACACAATAAGGATATACTTTACTTGTATCCATGATAGCATTGTACTTAACATTTACAATCTATAATAGCAAAGTATCTTACCTTACTATCCCTCTAGAAACATACTTTAATTTTTAACCATAATAGCAACGTACTTTACCCTTACTTCCTATAAAAGCACCATACTTTAATTATAAATATCAGTGTGAAGGTGGGGTGCGTGGCGGTCGGGTAGATATGGGGTGTGGTTGGGATGAGTATGTGGGTGTGGGCATGAAGGTAGGGGTCGGGGTAGGTGTAGGGTAGGCATGTGTTTCTAGCTATGGCTGTTGTAGCTTATATAAGGTAAGGGTTGGTATACATGGGAGTGTGGTTATAGATGTGAGTGTTGCATGGATATATGGTTGGTATGGTTGGGTGGATGTGAGTGTGGGGTGTGAGTTATGGAGGTATGGGTTGTGAGTTTAATCTAGGTTTTTGCAACACATTTTTTCTTTTAATTTTAGTATTTGCTCTTTTACCTAGTCTAGTTGAATTGAATAAATCCAAGCCATGTAGGCATGTGATTCCTATTTTTATGCAGATAGGTAGAGTCACTTTTCTAGCTTTTAGCTTTTTTTTGTTGTTGTTGTTTAAATAGAAAGGCAATATGTACGTTCAAAGTGTATCTCCTTTCAGTTTACATGAATAAGAAGTGCAGATTTGCCCCACTGTGAATGTTATCTTTTCTTGTCCCCTGTTATTAGCCATTGAACAAAGCCTTTGTTCTTTGTGTAAAATCTAACATTGGGTATCAGAGAGCAATGTGGTGCATGCCCAAGTATCAACCACGTGTGTTAGAAATGACAAGAAACAACAGCAACGAGAAGGATGGGCAACTTACACTTCACTACGCTATGTTGTGAAGAAAAAACTATGCTGCTGGGGCTATAAAAATGAAGGTGTTCATGCAAGCTCAAGGAGTTTGGGATGCAGTCGAGCCCAGGATACCAAACACTGTTGTAGAAGTGAAGAAAGAAAATATGGCTTTGACAGCCATCTATCAGGGCATACAAGAGGATTTGTTGTCGTCCTTAGTAGAGAAGAAAACTATGCTGCTGGGGCTATAAAAATGAAGGTGTTCATGCAAGCTCAAGGAGTTTGGGATGCAGTCGAGCCCATGATACCAAACACTGTTGTAGAAGTGAAGAAAGAAAATATGGCTTTGACAGCCATCTATCAGGGCATACAAGAGGATTTGTTGTCGTCCTTAGTAGAGAAGAAAACGATCAAGGAATCTTGGGAAGCATTGAAAACAATGTTCATGGTGGCGGATAGAGTAAAGACAACAAGGGTTCAAACCTTGAAGGCAGAGTTCGAGGCAATAAACATGAAAGATTCAGAGGCTATAGACGCGTTCGTTGCAAAAGTGAGCACCATCCGAGCATTGGGAGACATAGTAGAAGAGTCTTACGTGGTGAAGAAACTACTAAGAGCGGTGCCATCTAAATCTATACAGATTGCCTCAACTCTTGAGTAATTTGGTGATTTGGATCATATGACGGTTGAAGAAGTAATCGGAAGGCTGAAGGCTTATGAAGAAATGATGAAGGGGCACAGTGAAAATTAAGACAAAAAGCTTTTTTTGACCCACCAGGAATGGTATGATAGAAATAAGAACAAGATAGAAGACGATCCCAAATCCATTGACAAAGGAAATCGTGGTGGGTTTGGAGGCTCACTAGGATGGCGTAGAGGGCGTAAAAGAGGTGGTCGTGGCAGAGGTAGTTCACACTATCAGATTAGATAAACATAGTCAATCAAGTGGTCAAGACAAGAGTGGTGTGCAATGTTATAACTGCCAGGAGTATGGTCACTAGGCTGTTGAATGCAACCGACACATCTATAACTACGACTTGTACATGTACATGTCGATAATTATTCCAAAATTAGATATTTTAATGAAGCACTAAGCAAATTCGATTAGGGTATGCATTAGTTACTTGAAATTTCAGAGGAATAATCAATTGAAGAATGCACCTTCGAGGAAGAAGTAGAGGAAAAGTTTGTGAGATTGGATCGGACGGATTCGGAGAGAAATAGCAATTCGTTAAGCTTCGTATCAGTTGTTCCAATGCAGAAAACTTGAAGAAAATCCTTGATATTCCCCATGATATGTCACCACTTCAAGAAAAATAGAGCTACAACAGTTTTATAAATCGAGGGGATTGGGATTTAACCAACGATTGTTGGTGGGATTTCAAGAATCTTATCAGATGAAGAGATGAGTAGAGGTGTTCCAGGGTTGCTGAGGATTCAGTGAAAGCTAACATTTGACCATAAATGATATCGAGCAGAGACCGACTTCCGTGCCAAATCTAATTTTGATCAAAATATTCATTTGGTCGATGATAATATTTTTGGGAACCGATTTGTACGTAACAGTTTTCTTTTTTATATATAGAGTTGGTTAGAGTAGATTGGGTCAAGAGGAATAATGCTAGCTTGGGTTGAGAGGAATAACGATGGTGATCAGTGATACCGTTGGTATCACCGATAACATTACCATAAGAATGAGCGGGTTGAGAGAAAAGACTAAAATACGTATCTCCCTCTCATATGTTGTAAGTTGAGAAAGATGGAAGAAATAGAAGAGAGAAAATCTTATGTTGAGCTAATATGACAGTGAATTGAGTGGGTTGAGAGGGATGTACTCTCTCCACCCTAATAATTCATGTTTTAAAATGTTGTTGTAACAACGTAAATTTTCAAAACAATTTTTCATTTTTAATTCATCAAAAACAATATCAACAAACTGTATCCAATGTCATCATAACAAACAAATCCCAGAATCTCAAAACATAATCTCTATGAGTGTGTACGGATCATGCCGACGCCTTCCCGCGATCCTCGCTAGTACCTGAAACACATAACACAACAACTGTACGCATAAATGCTTAGTGAGTTCCCCAAAATACCACATACAGCAGATACGCCTTTCCAGGCCATAACTCTGTAGGACCTTCCGATCCATGTGTCTCAGGGGACTTCCGTCCCGAATCCCGGTAGACCTTCCGGTCCTACCCGTATCGACCTTCCGGTCCGTAACTTCTTGACCTTCCGGTCCATATCATCTTGACCTTCCGGTCCTTATCATACATAACATACATAACACATACATATAACATAACAACATGCAGCTCATACATCTCATATCATATAAGACCTTCCGGTCACACATAGGTACCCTTCCAGGTACAGTATAGTGAGAAGACTCACCTCAATGAAGTCGGATAACTCTCGTGCTCAACGTCCCGACCTAGCCTCCTCCTATCATTCAAATAACATCCCCGATCAATACTCTCTCATAGTCTCATCTCTAAAGATTGGGTAGAAGGCCATTCTACCCCTCCCTGAACTCTCTTGAATCAGTCTTGACCAGAACCCTAAGGTCAACGAAAGTCAACGGTCAAACTTTGACCTGACTCGTCGAGTGCACATGAGCGACTCGGCGAGTCCATGCGGGTCCTCTGAATCCTTCTAGCCTCTCTTGGCTCGTCGAGTAATCCTTCCACTCGACGGGTTTCTCCTGTCACGAATCGCGGGGCAACCCCGACTCGACTCGTCGAGTCCACTTATGGACTCGGCGAGTTGCTTCCATGTTCATACTCAAATGACCTTCTAAGGTCAGATCTGTTTCTCTAATCTATAGATCTGACCTTCCCAAGCATGATAATCACGTAAAGGTCGAATCTTGGTACACATGCAACACACCCAAAGCTTCTTTTGGTGAAATAACCTCTAAAATGGCCTCCTAAGCTCATAACTCAAAAGGTATGGCATAAAGCAGAGTGGTAAGGACTCTCTGGACCTCTTAAGGTCCAGATCTATGAACCAATTTGCCTTGGGACCTCACATACTCAAGATTCAACTAAAAGAGACATAAAGGAAACCCTAGATTTCACTAGAATCATAATAAACACAAGAATGGCACAGATTGTTACCTCCAACAGCTTCATCTGGTCAAATAGAAGTGGATCCAAGCTCCTCAACCCGCTTAGCTTGTTCTACCTCCTTCCTCTTGCTAAAACACACAAGAAATGGTGAATTAGCCTTCCTCTTGCACCACAAACGATCTCTCTGCTCTCTAGGGTTTCTCAGGGGTGAAGTGGCCGCAAATGGAGGCCATAAAGGCCTTTAAATAGGGCACAGACCCCGAG